AACTCCCCAGTTACAGAAGGCCATCGAGGGGCATACCAAGTCTGGTGTGCAGCTGCGTCCCCCGCTTGCCAGCTTCCGGAACACAACTACAACTCGAAAGAGTCCTGGGGGACCACCCCCTCCTGCAGAAGGCTGGAGCCTGCCCGAGGACGGGCCAGAGGCCACTGGCACAGAGGATGAGGTTCCTGCCTCCCCAGAGACTCCCGTGCCATCGCCCTCCCCAGAGCCTCCTCTCTCACTGGCCCCTGTGGAGGCGAAGGGTGAGCTGGAGGAGCTGGAGCTGGTGGGGACTCCGGGGCCAGAGGAGGAGCTGGCTGACATCTTGCAGGGCCCCAGCCTGCGCTCCACAGACGAGGAGGATGAGGACGAACTGGTACTCTGACCACTTCTTGGGCCTTCTCACCAAGGCTGCAGAGAGGCTTGCGTCTAAGGGTGAATTCATGTGGGGCAAGGTGTGTCCAGAGGTTGGAGAGGGCACCCCAATATCTTGGCCCCCTCCTGAAATTTTTTAATGCGATAGTGAACGTCTTAAAGGAGTCAAGAATTTGAGCAGGGAGGAACTGAGGTCAATTTTTCAGACCACTTCTCCCACTCCCAGATAGGCAGGTGGTCCTAACCCCAAGAAGGGCCCCTAATATTCCATGGGGCTGTGGGTGCGAAATACCTGCCTCTCTGCTGCTCCCACAGCTCCTTCCTACCACAGCACTTTCCTGGCAAGGAAGGGGTCCTCCACAGGAGGTGGGCGAGGGCGGGTTCCTGAGCGCCATGTGAAAGGACGTGGGACCACCTCGTGGCCTCCTGGACGGACCGCCCACCAGTGAGCATCTGCAGCCCCTTCTCCTGGTGCCCCTCAATTCACGTCTGCCCTCCACGATCTGCCTCCAGACCCTGTCCTGGCTCCTACCACTGCCTGGAAGCCAGAGCCCTTGTCAGGACAGCAGGAGACCAGCACTTTCCCGTCCTCTGTCCCACTTCTGCCAGGGAGATGGATAACGAGGGCAGTGGCCTGGGAGAAAAGGTCGCCACCAGCTCTCTGTGGAAGGCGGGGGTGCTTGGAGCCTGGCGGTCGTGTCCTGTGGGGTGCCCTGACTTGCTCTGGCAGAGAGCTCCCCCAGTGTCCCAGCACACCTTCCTGGCTTCCCATGTCCAGGCGTCTCCCCAGAAACATCCTCTCTCTTCCTCTGCAGAAACAGACTCACCTGTGGGGTCAGCTCTGCCCTGGAGCTGCTCCGGCTCTGGCCTAGCATGGCGAGGTCACCGGGTCACTCAGATGCCATCCCTTACACTAGTTCCTCAGGTCTCTTCTGGGGGTGGGGATGACAGGCCTCTTCGGTGCTTCCCCCAGCTGGGGCAGTCACATCCCACTCTCTCCACCAGCAGGGAGCCTGGTGGATGCGGTGCCATGGGCCTGCCTTCTCTAGTGAGCCGGTGCTCTGGGCACTCAGAAATCCTGGTCCTCCCCTGGGTTCCCCTTTCCCTCCCTGCAGGCTGTCCCAGTTCTGCACCCCCCTCCCGGCACTCTCCTTCCCTCCCCCGTGCCTGTCTCCTCTCCTCATCCCCCAAATAAGACACTCACAGTCAGAAGATGCCGCCACGTTCTGTTTAGTGTCATTGAACATAACCTCTGGCCCCTCCAGTTCATGTCCCTTCCACCTCCCCAGACATACAGAGGTGCTGGAGCCTGGGGAGGGGCTGGCAGTGGGCGTTCAGGCCCATGCCCGTGTGTATATAGTCTATAATATTGAGATATATTTATATAGAACTCTCTGCAATATATGTCATAGAATCTCTCTTGGGCGTGGGGTGAGGGTGTCACATTACGAAAACATGCTTAGACTGGCCGTAACAAGGGGTACTTCCCAGACCTGGAAGACGGCGTGTGGAGCACACAGGAGGGGCGAGGGGAAGGTGGCCAGCTCATTCCCCAGGATTCCCTCCCTAACCAGGTGTGTGGGGATGCAGGGGGCAGTGGAAGATTTTCATTTAATAAAGTCAATTGAAAAATGAAAGTGCACCCCTCCCCCCCAAAGAAAATTATTTAGCAAGAGCAGTTTCATTCACAAGAATATAAAAACAACCCTGTTCCAGGGCTGCTGGAACACGTGCTGCACAGCCTTTAACCCCAAGGAAAAGCGACCCTTCCCCACCCCCACAGCCCCTTCCTGCACATGCCCCTCCCCCCAAAACAGGCTGTAAGCAATCCCCCATGCACCCTGGCCCAGCACCAGAGGCCTAAAGTGGTCCTGGGCCAGCTCCTCCATCTTCTCCCTTCTAGAGAGACTCCACTTGACCTCTGGCCACAGCGAGGCACCAGCACCCTGGGACCCACGCCCTGCTCTTCTGTGGACTCTACTAGGTGCCACCAGGTCCTCAGTCATCTTTTGTCAGGGACTGTTTGGCTTCCTTGGGAAAGGAGGGAGGAAAGGAAGCTGCAGTAGTCTACCCTCCTAATTCCCAGGGCCCTGAGCAAGAAGGAATGTAAGGAATGAACCCACTCATGGGATCAGATGGCCACCAGATGGCCACCCTCATCTGGGGAGAACAGGCACCACAGGGATGAGACAGAGGGGACAATAGGAGACCAGGTAGAGCCCGTGGGAAAGGTGAGGAGCGGGGTCTGTGGGGTGGCTGGGAGCATGCAGAACCCACGGCCAGCAGGAGGGAGAGCCACTGCCCTGGCCTACGCCACTTCCCAGAGCCCCTGGCAAGCGGGCCCGCACTCCAAGGCAGGACACACAACCTACCGCAGGTCTCTTCCGTCCAGGCAGCTGAGAGTCAGGACCTTTCGCCTCCTAAGCTCACTACACCTACCCGTGTTTCACTCAAGAACTAACCTCGGGATAAATTCTGAGATGACCTGAGAGCCCTGCCCTGCTGCATTTCAGGAGAATGTGTGTACAAGAGTGTGAACCTGATGGAGGGGTGGCAAACACCCCAACTCTCAGCCTCTTCATTCCTAAGCAATAGAGGCCTGGGGCCTGGGGAGAGGGGCAGGTCGTGCTCAGGGGAGGACGGCAGTACTCCGGCCCAGCGGACTGTAGGCGCGGTAAGACTCCTGGCAGAGTGAGGGTAGGACACGCGGTCTGGGGCTGGAGCCTAAGACAGCACGAGGTAAGAG